TTAGTTGAAGTACGGTCAAATAGCATAGAAAGATAGAGCATTTTTTTTCTCTATCAGACTATATAGAAAGAAAGTTTATTAAAGTCCACTATAGGGTATTAAAGTATAACTGCACGTACTTTTGGTATACCCTAAGTATATTTCTATGTGGAAATAAAGCCAAAATAAATTAGAAAAAAGAATTATTTTGTTAATACAATACATACTGTTATGTTTATATATCGATATAGAGCTAAAATAAAATTAAAAAAATCTAGCTCACCCACATATTAGTTTTGTGAAGAACGAAAGCAAAAATATTTTTCAAATTAACTTTTCTAATCCCGCATTAGACAATCACGACTCATCGAATGACTGTGATTTTGTTTCAGTAATTTGATTCTGTTTTTCGCGAAAAGTTTTCATTTAGTTGGTCTTAACTTTGCCAAGGTTATTGGGTTTTAAAAAAGATATGATCGTTCTTTGCTATATAAAGAGGCTTCGCAATTACTCTTCTACACTAAAACATTAAAACACTGCTAAAGATGTTCGCTTCTGTGTCTATCCTCTACTTCGTTATTCTACTGACTTTTGAAAATACTATTGATGGTCGATCAGTACGTACAGCTATAAACTGATAGAGGCAATATGACTTTTTCACTTTGTCATTCACTAGGTGACGATTCCAACTCAGGCTAATCGTACATTCATAAGAAATTGTAAGTTCTTCTTTCACAGACGTCTCATCTCTTCACTTTTCTTTCTTCTGTGTAGCCGATCTCTTCGGAGGAGACATCCTTCTCCGGCCGGTAAGTTACATCCTCCTATTTCTATAAATTGACCCTTTTTCAAGCAGCAGCAGCTGAAAAATCGAGCTATTACGACAACTCGATCAGATGCACAATGGCCAAATGGAATCATTCCATACACCTGGAAAAGCGAGACCTGTGATTCTGAAGGAAAGAATTGTATTTACGCAGACATTCCTTCACATAGTAAGTCCAACTATTTTTTAAATTCAACGAGAAGATAACTAACAAAAGACGGTTCATTTCTTTAAAAAAATCTTAGGTCCTTCGGAACAGGAGACCATTCTGTTGGCGATGCGAAGGATCGAAGAAGCAACTGCTATCGATGGTAAGCCTTGTATTCAGTTTCGACCGAAAATTCCGTCGGATGGCGCATACGTTTCGTTTTTCAATGGACAAGGATGTTGGGCTCATGTAAGTTTTGTTCCTTTATGTGTGTAACCATGTTCTAACTAAAGGGTTTTCTTCTAGCTTGGTTACTATTCCGGATCTGAAAGTCTTGTCTCTCTGGGACCTGGTTGTGTCAACCAGGGCACCATCACGCATGAGCTGATGCATACTCTGGGTAAGTGAATTTTTTCGCAGTTTGTTATATATTGAGTACAATTCTACTTTTATATTTTTGTAGACTTTCTGCATGAGCACCAGAGATCAGATCGGGATCAATACATTCAGATCAATTGGGAAAATATTGCCGAAAGTGAGTAAACCCTTTTATAAAAGAGCAAAATATTGTGTCTCTCGGATCTTGTGACTAAATAGACTGGAAAGGCAGTTTTGAGATCGACCGTGGTATGGTTGTGAAACAAGGCACTCCGTACGATTACAACTCAGTTACACACTATTCTGGATGGGCTGCTAGTAAAAACGGAGAGAGAACAATGGAATCAAAGCCACCGGGAAAACCTCTCGGCGAGTATGACAATCTCAGTGACATTGATGTTTTGGAGATCCGCAAGTCCTACAAATGTTTCAACAAAGGTAAAGAGTTTCTAAGTATTCTATACTCAACAACCATACACTCTAAAAAAATCTGTTAGCGCAATCCCTGAGGGATTAAAATGTGAAACACGATATAGCTGCTTATTTGTAATGTAAATGAGCGGATGCTATAATGCGGGTTATACTCAGTGATGCTGCTCTAGCGTTCTGATCAGTCTATGACAGTGTTCTAGCCTATCTGTCACGGTTCATGACGCTGCCTTGGTCTGTCGATTACGGTCTCTGGCACTACCCTGACCTGTTGGTCACGGTTTGTGGCAAGGTCATGCAGTCTGTCGGTCACGATCTGTGGAGGGGAAGGTCCAAATTTTTACCCTTAAACACTTCGACACTCTCTTTCAGATCGTGTTTCACAAAAGGATCTTCCTCTGAATACACGGAAAGATCATTTATAGGTTTCGTAGATTTTTTTATTCTGTTTTTGGAACTTTCAACACATTTGCAAGCTTTTTCAAATCTACTGAATCTATTTGGGGGGGGGGGGGGGGGGATTCGATAAAGTTCTTTTTTTATTAGAGTTTAGGCCCTTCTCAACAAAAAAACATCAAGTAAAAGTAATAAACTTACCTAAACACTAAGATTAAGAACTCATTCACGACCAACAAATTATAACATGTTCACACAAATAAAGTAATGCAACAACGAAGATATTCCTCGACTCTGAAACACAAGCGAAAACATTTATTAACGAGGATAAACTTACTCCGAAATATCGAACTCACCTCAACCTAGAACAGAAATTAGAAGAAACAAGTGATCTTAAATATATCTACACAGTGACGATCCATAGGAGTTAAACAACACAATCAAGCATACACCACTAAAACTTGCGATTAAATAAGCAGTTGAAATCAACCTAGAGTCTAAATCAAGAAGTTTATTTTAAGGAAAAAATTTTACTTCTAAATAAGCCCCTCGCCTGCATTCGACCTAAACACGTATAGACATCCTCATATAATTGTCCTTCATGTCCTGTGGGTAATCTTATATAATGGCTATTGACGATCTATAGCCATTCTTATATAATAACCCTTGATGGTCTATGGTTAAATATGCACTAGATTCAGTTGACTGAAATCTAGACGGACTGAAAACTAGTCAGACTGGAGCGGATGGATGTCTACTATGGATATTCTCATATATTAGGGATGCTCAGTATCGGTTTACTGACCACCGACTGTCATTGACACTGACGTTCGCTGAGCACCGATGACATTAGTTTCAGTGGACACTAGAACACTGATTACATCAGTTCAGTGCATACCGAACACTGATGATATCATTGTCAGTGTTCACTGAAATACTGATCATACCAATACAGTGCACACTGAACGCTGACAACATCAGTGTTAGTGCTCACCGAACACTGATGACATCAGTGCTCAATGTTCACTAATATGTTTTTATAATGGGTCTTCAAAGCATTCAACTTTTGTTTTCACTTTTTACCTATTAACATAAAGAAACAAAACAAATATAGTCACTTTTCTGATGAATTTCGCCAATTTGGCCACAGTGAAATGTTTACAGAAATGATCACGCATAAAAGAATGTCACAGTATTTCAGTGAGCGCTGACACTAATATAATCAGTATTCCAGTGAACTACAGTTTCAATGTAAACTGTGTCAGTATTTCAGCGTTGCAACTGAAACCGAGCATCCCAATCATATAACAGTTCTTGATGTCCTATGGGTAGTGTCATGTAATGACTATTGACGACCTATAGCCACTCTTATACAATAAGGGTGTGGGTGTGAGTGTGGGTTGTGGGTATGCATATAACTTTTTCTGAACACCCCCACCCCACACCCCACACCCCACACCCACACCCACACCCCACCCTTATTTCAATTTAATAAAACATTTGAATTCAGATACTATTAAAATGCACTATATTCTAAAGGTCTCGTTCCTTTCTTCCCTATCTGAATTCAGACAATCTTAGTCTGGTGTCGCAATTCTGCCAGAAACTTCTTTTAAAGCATTTTATTCATAGCTTTAGCTATCAAGATCGCAAAGAGCTTCTTTTTAATTTCCGGTAAAGAGTAAACATTCCACTGTTGAATGATATAGGATTAGTTAAAAACTAATTAATTGATCATTTAGAAGAACCGCTAGAATAGGCCTAGAGGAAATTTTGATTGTTATATGCGCTTCATGTATATCACCTACTACATATAAATCAACTAAAAGTACTTGACGCATGCAGAAACATATTGACTCGTACCCTAGAGGATCTTTAGTAATGACTCACTAAAAATACATAAGATATTGAAATAATTGAAAAACAGCGTTCTAACGATTTCTTTAACACGTTAAATTAAGTGTTTTCATTTGTTTTCAGCGCAAATTTCACGACTGTTACCGTGTTGAAAGGCTAAAACACATATTAACGCCGAAATATTCGTTAAGAAAACATAGTTTTACTCGTATTTTCTCGTTCTTTTTAAAGCAATTGAACGCGTTTAGATGTAGAATCTTTATTCCAATTACTTGTATTCATATGAACACATCTGACATGAATATTATTATTTATAGACTACTCTGTTTTTTTTATCAGAATGACAAGTCAATTTTTGAACAATCATTAAAAAAAGCATAGGATATTCTTAAAGACGTGCGACAAATTTTTTCTCTTCATATATGTGCGAGTTGATGGCATGCCTTCCCTAGTGAATGTACTGAGTTGGGTGTGGGTGTAGATTGAAAAGCACTCATCCACATCCACACCTACCTACTCCTTTCTAAAAACCTAGATGGTGTAGAGGTGGGTATAAATGTGATTGTAATTAGAAATGAGATCTATATCCATGCCCACATTCACACCCACATAAGATGACCTATTGACTATCCTCGACAAATTTTTCACTATAGGTAGAATGAATTCCTATGGGTTTTTATCATGGAATCTTCATTATTGTAAGTCATACTCGACGAGTAACATTATAAATGCTGATTATGGAGTAGAAGATTGCATCAAAGCAACTCTCGAATGAGTACTTCTGTTAAGACATATTGATCAATTATTTTCAAAGAATAAAGAAAAAGACTTCATGCCGTTCTTTTGATATGTGCTACTTATTGACAGCTTGTGTGGATGGATTGATACTATATATATGTCTTAGTATCTCTCAAATAAGAATTCCGTATCTCGTTAGATGTTAATCAGGTATAATTTGTTCACAAATCGCTCATCTCATAGACTATGAAAAGTTATACAAAGCTGCACATTCTATATCTGCTTTTTCTCATCAGTAGCCAAATCTTATTTTCAAAAGATAAATCATGCACATGTAGCGACATATAACACTAGAATGAAACTATAAATTGTTCTGAGATATTTTTGATATGCTCAAGTTTTTAAATCGGAGAAAATCAATCAATTTAGTCTGATATATCTTTTAAGAGTGGATGTAAGTATGTATCTTTTTTTCTGCCATCAGTATACTCACACCTCACATCAACTCTTAAATCTATTAAAAGAAATAGATTGAGAATTTTATCTTGAATGTTGCGGTATCATCACGAACTCATTATATTTTTTATTTTTTTCTCATATATCTTTTTTTCTACAATGACTGTTCATTTGCCGATTAAAATTCCATATTTCTTCACAATGCAATTCTAATGTACTACTATCATTCAGATAAAAAGTTTTACGTATTAAACAATTAACTACATGTAAAAAGAGGCCTCTAGTTGTAGAGAATTTTTTATTATTGGAACACGAGTTTAGATGACAGCAATTTAGTAAAAGACGAATGTACTGCATTTAAAAATTATCAGTTGTAACTATTTCGTAAAGAATTTTTAAAAGAAATCTTTTGTCCGTTCGGTTTAGGTTAAGTTTAAAAATTAAAAACGAAACAGTGCATCTTTGAATAATGTAATGTGACGATGTGGCAAATTGATTGTGTTGGTGTTGATGATTAGATTTTTATTCCTTTACAAATCAGTAACCTTTATTTTTCATATTTTTTTTCTTTTATACTTGAAATGATCTGTGATTGAATCACATAAAGTGATTTTTTCGATAAAACGTTTTTCAGTCAAATGAACTCAATGAGTAACTAAAAATTCTGTAAGTTGAATTTTATTACGTAAGAAAATATGTTTTCTACAATTAAAGACTTTTTAGACAACTTTATGAATGATTTTGAGGGAAGAAAAGAATTAAGGATAAATCGAATAGATTAAATTTCCATTGCTCATCACATCATAATAGTAGCTTGTCTCCTCTAATATATTTCTAATTGACGAGACTGAATTTGATAAAAATGAGCGAAGTCTATTCAATTTAGAAAACTAGAGCAGACACAAGTAATACACATCAATTATAACAGAAATCTTAGAGAGAGATCACTGAACTAATAGATATGTATCAATATTCACACAAAATCTGTTCTTTTATGAAATTGAAAAAAATGCACTTACTCGACTCTTTTACCTTAATCTAAGAAAGGACAGCTTACTGAAATAAAGTATTCAAGTCATCATCTTTATGTAAGCATTGACTTCAGATCAATCGAATTTGATATAGAAAATTAAATGAAAGATTCTTTAGAAATTGATCGAGTATTGTGTACTTGAATGAATAAGTTCAAGTGGTAAGAAAATACATGTAAGATACTAGCAGACAATTGTAATTGTCAAGGAAAGAAGTTTGTAGTTCTTTGATATTCGAAATAAATGAATTGGTATTTCATTTTTAAATCAATAAAAAAAAGTTATCAATTCATATATTGTTATGAAAGTATATTAAAGCTAACTTTGATGGGAAAGTAGAAACAAGAAAACAAGCATTTTAAAGATAATACTCAAATATGTCATGGGATGATACAGTCTTATAAAAATACTAAGAAAAAATAATGTTTGATTTTTCTGAATAATTTTTTCTATATTATTCATAAGAAATTATAGAAATTTTTTTAAAATGAAACAGTTGAGAGATGTTTCATCGAATAACTGCTGTAAGAAAGCCTGCTGTATTGTGATGAATATATGTGCAGACAGGTGTGTGGGTGTGTACTATCATTCTGTTGAACTACACCTACATCCACATCCACATTCTCTAGTGTCGAAAGCGAAAAACCAATAAAATCATTAGAACGAATAATCGTTGTTCATTGTTGTTTTGAACTTGTCAACCATGAAGAGTATGTAAGCGGCAAAAAATCTTAGTAAAAAAACCGTCGAGAAACAAATATCAAACAAGAAAACTATTAAAGATACTTTCCGACAAAGATCAGGACTTTAAGTTAATATATCACTAACAAAAACTGAACAAAGGGATAGAACACAACACAATGAGCGTCTTATTCCAGAAATTTTTCTTTTCTTTTCTCGCATGTAACAAATTATGGTCTGTAAGAATCGACAAATCTATAGATAAATTGGATATTCAGAAAAGAAAAAATTCTAATAGACTTGCAATTTTCTTATTAGACTATGAAAATTTGATATAATATTATTTTCTTTTCTTCAATATGGTAGAACATTCATTGTATAAAGATAAAGGAACCAATTCTATGCTGCATTTCTTCATTTTCATGTATGATCTTCTTCTCTCTTCATAGTATTTTTGTACCGACGTGTTAAAGGCACATTTTTTTTTCTTAGATCTGTTATTTTGTAACTCCACATAACATAGTTATTTTCTCTGAACTGAAAGACTATTGTTTAGAAACAGACATTCACTGATGTTTATCTACCTGTATTTAGCGTAGTACGAGCGTTCATATAGTATTCATGTTACAAATTAAGATTTTGTAACTCTTTTCAAGATGAATATCTAATAGCTATTAGTTTATGTCAACTACACATTGTAATTTGAATGTCCAACATTGATTAAAAAACCCTACATTATCTTAAATTTTATTTCTATGATTGCGTAAGATATTCATGTCATGTTATTAAATTTATTAACTGATTACATCTTAGTTGATCGATCTTCGTTTCTACAAATCTGACTATATCCGTAAAATCCATATGAACACATGAAGGATCTGTTAACAGGATCTATTTATAAAAGGAATACTTCATCTCAAAAGAAGACTAAAAAGTATTGGAGTACAAGGAGAGCTTTGGAACTGAAACTTGTTGTTGAATGTCAAATCGAGACAGATAAGCAAAAACAATAGGAAAATATTTGTTTCCGACAGATAAAAAGCTGTCTCGCATTGTTTGAATAAATAAAAATTATAATTTCTTGAAATGATTTGTTAATTTTTCTTGAATTTCAAGCACAGTATAGATATGAAGACAGTCAATGTATATTCATCGAAAAAAAAATTAAAAAAAAAATTCAATAGATTCTAATACTGTCAACATAAATGGGATTTATTAAGAAATAAATCACAACCTTTTTGTTTGTTTCATGACAAGCATTGGGTACACAGACAGATAAACTGAAAAGAATGAGAAAGATATTTTATTCTCAACCAAATTCAGTGAATCATTAATGATTCTCGCCGAATAGTCGATAATTTCTGAACATCTCGTATAATTGAAATGAAATTGTTCAGAATATCGAAAAATACGATTATGAACAACAATAGTTTCAAATTCAAAAAAATTTAATGTACATTACGTATATAGACCAGACACTTTCAACTAAATTTGATCAGTTGGTCTTTTTCTCATCGATGCTTTCAGTGAATTTAGAAACAAATAAGCTTTTACATGAAGAGAGAATATTAAAAAAAAAAACTTTCTATAAAACTCTTAGTAATTTTCATTTTTAGATGTCTTACTATTTTTTAAGAATTAAATCAACATTTAAGAAATATTGGCAAAGGTTGTTTAGTCGTGACTAAAATGTTGAGCTAAGTTGCAAATAAAGCGGCACTGATAAGAAATATGAAATAATTTTACTGAAAATATTTTCTTTCATAGCTGTTCTTCATATAGAAATGCTCTCATTCTAGAATTCATAAGTTATACATCAGTTAAAGTATTTAGAATATTAATAATAACGTAACGAAAATAAGTCTTCTGACTAATTTTTTTTTGTAACTATGTATATTCCAAAAATAATTCGACAAAATTCAAAACAAACCTAAGGATCTCAATAAACTGAGAATATTAAGTATAACTGACTTATATTTGATATTCTAAAATTAGTACAAATGAAATCAAGTAATTGTAAGATCTTTAAGAAAAAAGAAAAATGTAAAATATTAGAAAACTGACTCAATCGGTAAAAATAGCCTCAAGAATAGAGAAGTAATATTTACAGATTGGTTTCTCAAATCTTATCTTTTTTTTTTTTTACATGAGAATTCATTTGTTTAAGTAAACAGAAAATGAA